GGACATCCCTGTCTCACTCCTTTTGCTATTGGTAGTATCTCCATTTAATGCTATCTTTGCTGTTTATTTATTTTATTTATTTTATTTTATCAAATTTATATTCCGCCCTTCTCCCGTAGGACTCGGGGCGGCTCACAGAATAGAAACAACATAACAATAAAATAGTGCTAAAACAAGCCAATTTAAAATCCCCAGACAATTAAAACCTTGTGGCAGATCAGGGAATTTGCTGAAAAAGCCATATCTTCAGGTCGATGCAGAAAGTGCGGAGGTCGGGGGCCGTCCAGAGCCTGGTGGGTAACCCATTCCAGAGGGTCAGTGCAACCACAGAGAACGCCCTCATCCTGGGGGCTGCCAGCCGACATTGTCTGGCTGATGGCACCCAGAGGAGGGCAGTCCTATGTGAGTGCACTGGGCAGTGGGAGGCCGGTAGGAGGTGGTCTTCCAAGTACCCCAGGCCCATGCCATGAAGGGCTTTATAGGTAAATACCAGCACCTTGAAGCAGATCCGAAGGGCCACCGGCAGCCAGTGCAGCTCGCACAGGAGAGGTGTTACACGGGAGTAATGGGAAGCTCCCGTAACAACCTGCGTGGCCGCATTCTGGACCAGCTGGAGCCTCCGGGTGCACCCCAAGGGCAGCCCCATGTAGAGGGCATTGCAGTAATCCAACCGAGAAATAATGAGAGAATGAGTGACTGTATGGAGGGCATCCCTGTCTAGGAAAGGGCGCAACCGGCGCACCAGGCGAACCTGTGCAAAAGCCCCCTTTGTCACGGCCGTCAGATGATCCACCAAGGACAGCCATGAATCAAGGAGGACGCCAAGATTACGAACCCTTTCAGAGGGAGTAAGCAACTCCCCCCCCCCATCCGAAGTGATGGGGATACTAGATCATGAGATGCCAGTATCCACAGCCACTCAGTCTTGGAGGGGTCGAGTCTGAGCCTGTTCCTACCTATCCAGACCCGTACCACCTCCAGGCACTTAGACATCACGGAAAGGGCATCCCTGGGTTGATCCGGGGTGGAGATGTACAGTTGGGTATCATCAGCATACTGATGATACCTCACCCCGAAACTGCGAATAATCTCACCCAGTGGCTTCATGTAGATGTTAAAGAGCAGGGGGGGAGAGAACCAACCCCTGTGGCACCCTACAAGTGAGGGGCCTTAGAGAGGATCTCTGACCCCCCACCCAAACAAACTGCATATGGCCTGAGAGGTAGGAGGAGAACCACTGTAAAATAGTGCCCCCCACCCCCAACCCCTGGAGCTGTCGCAGTAGGATACCATGGTCGATGGTATCAAATCCGCTGAGAGGTCAAGTAGCACCAGAATGGAGGAGTAACCCCCATCCCGGGCCCCCCCAGAGATCATTCACCAGGGTGACCAATGCCGTTTCCGTGCTGTGTCCGGGCCTGAAACCCGATTGGTATGGGTCTGTTTGGGTTGAGTATATTTTTTGTATATTTTACAAATTTGTCTCCAAATTTCATATTTTCTAATTGTAAAATAAGGAATCTCCAGTTTAAATTATTGAAGGTTTTTTGTGCATCCAAAAATATTAATGCCATTTGTTTGTCTGGATTTACTTCATAATATTCTAATACGTCTATTATGATTGTCATATTGTTTTTTATTTGCCTTTTTGCAGTGGTGAAATCTAAATTTCTTTCCTACCGGTTCTGTGGGCGCAGCTTGGTGGGGGTCATGTGACTGGTGGATGTGGCCATGTAACCATGTGACTGGGGGATCAAAAGACAGAAACTCACTAAGAATGTCCTGCTGGAGCAGAGTTGGACTAGATAAATAAATAAAAACAAATAAATAATTTTATTTCTATACTGCCCTTCTCCTGAAGGACTCAAGGCGGTGTACAGCCTATTAAAAGCACAAAGACAAACATCAATTAAAAATATTTAAAATTATTAAATAATTTCAGCTCAGATTTAAAACCCCAAAAATTTAAAACACCCAATTTAAAATCATTACATCGATAGCCCGGCCTGGCGGAACAGCAGGGTCTTGAGGGCACAGCGAAATACACGGAGGTCGGAGATCTTACGCATTTCTGGGGGCAGTTCATTCCACAGGGCAGGGGCTCCCACAGAGAAGGCCCTCCCCCTGGGTGTCGCCAGCCGACATAACTTGGCTGATGGCATCCTGAGGAGATCCTCTCTGTGGGAGCAGACTGGCCAGTGGGAAGCTATTGGTGGCAGAAGTCGATTTCGAAGGTACCCAGGTCCTATGCCATGGAGCGCTTTAAAGGTGGTGACCAGCACCTTGAATCGCACCCAGGTCCCTTCCAGCCCTGGATTATACTCTGAAGCTGCGTCTAGTGCCAGGTTTGTAGTCCTTCCTTCCTCTCTTTTTTCTTTCCTTCCTTCCTTCCCTCCCTCCCTCCCTCCTTCCCTTTCTTTCTTTGGATATATTCTTTATCTTTTAATATTTCTTTGTTCAACATCCAACTTTTTTTCTTCTTCTGGCCTTTCCGTGTTACTCTTAATGGATTATGATCCGCCCATGTATTAGTCATTATTTCCACTTCTTCGATTTCCTTTCTAAGTTCTGTGGTCATCCATACCATATCTATCTTAGACGATTGATGTGGACTAGAATAGAATGTGTATTGTTTTTTTTTCTTTGTTTATTTCCCTCCATGTATCTTGTACGCATAATTCTTGTGTCATCTTGTGAAATGTGTCTGGTAGTGTCTTTTTCTTTGTTTTATTTTTCTTATTGCTTCAATAGTCTTTTTTCACATCCATAATCATGTTAAAACTCTCCAATTAGGCGTATGTTTTCATACTCCAATTCTTTTGCTTTATTGTGTATTAGTAACCTCATGCCTAATATTATCTGCACTAGTAAACCCCCTAAAAGTAATCTGTAGGAACTAAGAAAGGATGACAGCATAATCATACTGCCCGCAGACAAAGGCAATGCTACAGTGATAATGAATACGGTAGATTACGACAAAAAGTTGCTTGAGCTCCTCCAAGACGTTACGTATAAACCCTTAAGTACTGACCCAACCACATATTTAGAAAAAACTACCAAAACCAAGATAAAGGCCAGTCCCATAGATAAAGAAGTTCAACAAACAATCATCCCTAGAGAGGTCATCGAAATTTCCAAAACTATATAGCCTCCCAAAAATACATAAAAAGGGCATATCTCTCAGACCCATAGTTAGCTCCATAGACTCTCTGCTACAAAACTTGGCTAGATATTTAGCCAAACGACTACAACCATTTGCGGAATCGATTGCTTCTTATGTGCAGAACTCATATCATCTCATAGAAATTCTGAGAAACCAATGCATAGAGCAGGGTGACCTACTTGTAAGCTTTGATGTGGTCTCATTATTCACCCAAGTACCCGTTATAGAAGCTCTAGCAACGATCAAAAATAAATACCAACCACCAAACCACATCATAAAATTGGCAAGAGCATTGCCTTTCTAACACCTATTTCATGTACAAAGGGCAAAGATATAAACAAATGCAAGGGGCACCAATGGGATCACCGCTCTCTCCAGTTATTGCCAATCTGTTCATGGAGGGATTAGAAATTAAGGCGTTGGAACAAACTACTTATAAACCAAAATTATGGCTCAGATATGTAGATGATACGTTTGTGATCTGGCCCCATGGAAAAGACAAGCTAAACAATTTTCTAGCACATTTGAATAAAATGCATCCGAAGATACAATTCACTATGGAAATGGAGATTGAAAATCAACTCCCATTCTTAGATGTATTAATATACAAGTGTAGGAAGTTAGCACTCACCCCTTTCCTGGAAGAGTGAAATATTTTAGGAAATATGAAAAAGCCAGAATATTATATTTCCCTGGATGAGAAATATGAAAAGCATATTTTACAGACAAAGCAGCTCCCACCTTCCTGCCCCCCACCCTTTGTCAATGGGCCATTAAGGCCTGGGCCAGTCTATTCTACATAACAAAGATCTGCCTCCTTCAGGCAGAGCCATACTAGGAATTGCCAAAGATAGGATTAGCCCTCTACACAATAGCAGCAGAAACTCATCACATGTGACCTGGGAAGCACATGTGACCATCAGCCAGCAAGGCCCCCACCCCCTGGGAGTCTGACAACCAATCAGGATACTCTTTTGAGGCCCCAAGAAATGCAGAGCCAGAGAGAGCATAAAAACCCAAGGATTTACTGTATCTGCCCCTTTTCTGTTCAGGAACTCAAGCCATGTGATCCTGTCCACCATTAAACCATCTTTCCAAGCAGTCTCCATGTTTCCAGTGTCTGTTTTCCCCACTTGGAGCAGAACCTAGAAGGATGTTTCTTCCAATACAAGAAAACTGATGGCACCCTAGGACATAGCGTCTACCAAAGACACGCACAAATCAATAAACGCACACTCACACCATCATCCTTCGCAAATAAATTCAGTGCAAAAACTTTAATTACTAGAACTAAATGTCTATCAGATGTTTAGTTCTAGATTGATTTGTATCAATATGGCCTTTCAGTACTAATACAAGGATACAAATAATGAATGTGGTGGTAAATTTTAATTGCTATGACACAAAAATATGTACTCAGACGACACACTATTTAATGAAAGATGAAATGTTTGTATTAAAAGAAAATTTAATTTTTTTTAAAAAAAAATAAAGACTTCAGGCATCTGCTGGCGGGTGTTGGGGCTGCTTTTTGCCTGGATATCCTCCAAAATATTTCATTCTTGCGCAGGTGGGAGGGGGGCGCTTCCCACACGTGACCCCCGAAAATCTTGCCGTGGACTGCGTGCCAAACACCTCAACGACCCTCAGAACAGGGGGCTAAAACAATATGGTCGCGTTGTGGGCCAAGCATACCCTAAAGTAGGGGTCCCTAATCAACATTGGGCCGCGTAAGAGTCCGGCTGCTGCGCGCGGCCCCACTCGGATCGCGTTGTCACGGGCAGAGCACGCGCTTGCCCCGCCCACAAAATCATCCCCTTTCCCCCCTCCCGGCCGCCAACCCAGAAAGGTTGGGAACTGTGTCCTAAAGCCATGGTGAGCTAGGCTTTGCTTATGCCGCAAACTGAAAGCCATCTGTCGCAGCCGTTTAAAGCGGTGACGTTCGAGCCTTATTTGACACCTTGCGCTTCCTGTCGCAGGGGGACGAGGGTCGTGTGATTTTTATTTTTCGAGGCCGGAAACATCTGGATTTTCAGCAGCCCTTAGCCAGTCTATTTTATAGACGAGAGATCCCGGTCTGGGAACAGACTGCAGCCGGCCTTCATAGGCGGAGAAAAGGCGTGCAAAATCGCCCGGCCGCCGCGGCAATGCAGCCGAGTTGATGAGTGGCAGCAACAGCTGCCAATCAAGTTGCCAGTTCTTTCCCCAGGTCTTGTTGCCGGCGGGGCGAAAGGGGCGTGCGCCGGAGGAGGCGGGGCTGGCCTCAAGCCTTTACCCACACAGCGAATTCGCCCGCCACCGTCAATTCCTCCGCCATTGGTCCGGTGCCTGCTTTCTCCAGCTTCCGGCGTTCCTGGCTTGGTAAGTTGAAGGCTTCGAATGTCACTCACTTTTCCAGAATCGGGTGCCGGAGTGGAGGGAAAGCCACCCTTAGACTTTCGTGGTTGGCGTGGCAGATTTGTAAGAGTCTGAATTCCATAGTCAATACCGCAGTGGAATTTGTACCCCGCGAATGACCTCCTCTGCCACATGGGCGTTTTTCCATTCCTCCGGCGGTGGAGTTGCCACTCTTCGCAGAGACGGATAATGCCAACTCTTTCCCTGCCTTTCACAATCCCGCAGCTTTTCCACCAGACACGATGTTCCCAGCAAGACTGGTCGGAGAAATGCGGAGTCGATTGATTTTATAAGTTGAGATTCTAGGCAGCCAGCCAATTCCTCGGAGAAAGAGAGGTGGAAGTGAGAAAATGTAGGATGAACTTTATTTTGGGCAAGTTGACATCTCCCACTTTAAAAAACTATCATCATAGAGGATTCAGATGCTCAGTGGCTGTGGTCACCGTCCATTGACAAATTGAGTTCTTTCTTAGATGAATTTATTAGTGTTTTACGACTGATGAAGTGTAGTTTAAGGATACAGTATAGTAATTCATACTAAAGTGTCAGGTGCGAAGAATCAGAATCACTGGTTCTAGTTAAGGTTTATTGCTCAAGCCTATTGCTGTTGCTCTACTGCCCGAGGTCAGCACTAAATTGGCACTACATAAGAATTAATGGAATTTCGGTTGGGTAGGAATTTACTTGGATGCATGTGGGAACTACAGTAAGGATTCCAGACTGATTCCTCTTCTATAAGAAGTTTGTTATGGCATATATCAAAATTTATCTAGCTCTGATCACCACTGATCTGGTCTGCTGCAACACACTGTCTTTGGAGATGACCTGCAGGCAACAGGTGGTACAAAATGCAATGGCTTGACTCCTAGTGGGTTAACTAGTAAGCCAGGTGTTGAAGCTAATGATTGACAAAAGGCTTACATGCCCATTCAGAGAGCTGATTGTTAGCTTTAAAACTGCTTATGAAGCTTCTCTACACTGTGTGCACAATTAGTAGGCAAGTTGTATTTTTGAGGATTAATTTTATTATTGAATAACTACAGTGCTCAGTCAATCCAAAATGTTAATAAACCTCAAATATTTAAGGAAGTAAAAGTGAGCTTTTGGCTTTCTTACAGGAATATGTGTACACAATTATTGGGCAACTATTGGTGTGCAAAATTATGCAACTAAATAAAAAAAAAATTTCCCCTGTATCACTCATTTATTTTCATCTGTTAAGGTGAAAATAAAAAAACAACTTAAAATTTACAAATCAACATTTCTGACATTTCAAAAAAAATATCGGTGACCGATATAACCCCTCTTCTTTTCAATAACAGGCATAAACCTTCCATTCATGGGCGGGTTTTTCAAGCATTATGTTTAGTTTTGAGTCAATAAATCCTGTTGTAGCTATGCTGGTCTGGTTCTTGCCTACTGAAGCCCACTATACAATAACTTGTATTAATTCTGTGCATCTTACAATATCATAAAAAGAGAATATAAAACATTTTAACATTTTGATTTGTATGTAGTCATCTTGAGTCCCATCAGGATTGGGATGATTTATGTTTTATAAATATTGTAAAATAAGCAGGGTGGATTTGATTTAAATCACAATTTAAATCATGATTTAAATCACTAGTAAAAAGGCTTGATTTAAATCAACTCGATTTAAATCATAATTTTTAGAGAGCAACTGTCATCTCTGCTACTCCTTTGACCCACTGTTGACTCACCGATAGTCCCAGTGTTGCAGAATATATAGTCCCAGTGTTGCAGAATATACAGCCCCATGCTACATAACTAAGCTCCATTTCATGGTGAATAAACTAAATTATTTATGTATCTTAAATAGAAAACTATCTTACGATAGATTTTTACCCCAAAAGTTTTTTATTAAAATAAATTCGATAAAAATCAAAAAAATCCGATTTAAATCAAAAATATCTGATTTAAATTTAAAAAATCTGATTTTTTTGATTTTTTTTTTTAAAAATCATTGATTTTTATCCACCCTGAAAATAAGTATGGTTAGGCAAATGTAGGCTCAGATATTTCTTTTATTGCTCAAGAGCAGAAAAGGTTAAAGTTGTCATTTTTAATTTGTTCAGCAGCAGCAGAAAGGTGAATCTAGAGCATATTTTACTTGAGTTCTGTAAGGGTTGAATTAAAATATTTGACAAAAAAATATTTAAATCAAATTTTCTGATTGTTAATTAATCAAATACATGTATATGCTAACTGATTATTGTAATGGAAAATAGTCAACGATTTAGTGGTAAATAAAGCTTTTGTCAGCCCTGGAGGCCATCTTTTCTTTGGATCTTCAGGGCTGCCACACTTAGTGCTGTGGGAAAGTGGGAGAGGGGTTGCATGGAGTTGGTAGAGTTATTTAGCTGTAATAACATTCTTTTCTCTGAGAGTCAAGGACTTTCAGCCTGCACCTGTAGTGGCGTGACTGGGAGGCATCTCCAGTTGGGACAATGGATTTATTGGACCATGTGATGAACATGTGGGTGCAGGGGAAGGGACTTTGACTTTCTTTTGGGTGGGTAAAACCCGGGAGCTTTCATATTCAGGTTTTCCCAGATGTGCCAATATGTCATCTCTAATAAAATGGATCTTAGAGGAACTGCCTGCCTTGGAGTCTTACTTGGTTAGGGGTGTTACTTGGAACCCTGATAGCTTTGGTATGACCTAGGAAGGTAACTTAAAATCTTATTTAGGCAGCCAATGTTCAGCTACCCTGTAATATTTGTTTATACAGGAGATAGTTGCCCAACCACTGAAGCCAAAATTTCAGCTACCAGCCAATGGCAGCAATGGCCTACTTTCAGCAGTGTGGCTATTTCCTCTTCATTTAGGCATTGTTCATACCCCAAGCCATTCTAGAAACAAAATAATGATCTAGTTCCTTTGCACCTAGGAAATTGCACCCCTCCACATGCAGCATTTGTACCAATTTTGCACTGACACGCTGCCCCATCTACTTACAATATTAACTTCTTGGATTACCAAGTCAATTTTCTTTTGGTTCTTTGATGCAACTCAAATTGCACAACTTCCATTTTGCAAATTGTGAACTTAGATCTCTGCGAGGCTTGGGAGTTGACCACTCTCTCATTATTGTTATCCCACTTTAGAAAATCTTGATTGCCCTAGTTAAGCAATATATACCATATATTTCTCTCACCCTGCCTTTCAGCCTCTGGGATCAAGTAAACCATTAGTCTTTCCTCTTTATGTCAAGACATATACTACATTGCAATTCATAATGATTTCCTAGCAATTAGAGAAAATAAACTAGAATGGAAGGTCAACTGTCAAAAGATTGAACAGATTATTTCAAATAGAATATATTAAATGTTGTTGCTGTATAGTGTTAGCTAATGCTTCTGGCAATATAGTGTTCTTCCCAGGTTTCATTTTCAGATACCTTCATGTATCCGGGTAACAGTTATTCCTTTCTCCACTTCTCTCCTGCTCTCTGATCAAAAATGCCACCTTTGCTTTATTGCCTTCATAAATGGGTGGTCCTTCCTTTTTTAGGTCTATATTATTTCTACTCCCCACAGTATTCCATTGTGACTTAGAGCAATTCAGCAAGTCATGCTAGAAGTTCACTTGCCAACCATTTTAGTACAATGCAGGCTATCTTAGACAAAGTCTTATTAAATTATAGAATAGAATAGAATAGAATAGAATAGAATAGAATAGAATAGAATAGAATAGAATAGAATAGAATAGAATAGAATAGAATAGAATAGAATAGAATAGAATAGAATAGAATAGAATAGAATAGAATTCTTTATTGGCCAAGTGTGATTGGATACACAAGGAATTTGTCTTGGTGCATACGCTCTCGCTGTATATAAAAGAAAAGATACATTCGTCAAGAATCATAAGGTACGGAACTTCCGGTGGCTCCTCAGGCGTCGGTGGTCGCTCCTTTGGGAGCGCTAGCCCCGTGACTTTGTTAAGCCGCTAGAACAGCGAAATTAGCTGTCTAGCGGCTTGGAAACTTTTCCCTCGGGAAAAGAGGGGAAAGACAGCACCTGGGTGAGGGTAGAGCTCCCCAAGAGCTCCAGGAACAATCCTGGAGCTCGAAGGGTAAGAGCTCCCCAGGAACCTGGTAGAGCTCCGAATCCGGGACGTGTCTGCTTCATGCAGAACAAGATGCTGCGACCATCCCTGCAAGCAACTTTGTAACAACATTTGGACTAAAGCACGCAGAGCAAAGACAGGAGACATTATAACTGCAAGTAACAAATTTTAACTCCAGCTGAATACTGTTTCTTTCTGGGTCTGATGAGAACGGGAACAAGTTGAAAGAAAATGGTGCTGGCTTGTTAAGGGCATGGAAAGTGAAAGTTAAAGAAAAAAGTGCTTGTTAACTTGTTAAAGCTGTCAGCCCCGTTTAACTCTAATGGACGTTGCTTTAAAGAATTAAGACTCTGGGACTAAAAGAATAAAGTTTTGACTTACTAATAAGCCATATTATTGCTTAAAGATCAAGAGTAAAATATTTATTTATTTATTTATTTATTTATTAGATGTATTTATATGCCGCCATTCTCCCGAAGGACTCAGGGCGGTGAACACAAGTTAAGAAACAAGTACAATAAAATCATAATTTAATCCAAATAATTAATTAGTAGTAAATAATAAAGCCCGGAATCAGTCTCAGCCTATTTGTTTGAAAAGCCAAGTCTTCAAGTTCCGACGGAAGGAGCGGAGATCAGGAGCCTTCCGGAGCTCAGTAGGTAATTCATTCCAGAGGGTGGGAGCACCCACAGAGAACGCCCTACCCCTGGGCACAGCAAGGTGACATTGGCTCGCCGTCGGAACCCTGAGGAGAGCAGCCCTATGTGAGCGAACAGGATGGTGAGAGGTAGGCAGGAGAAGGTCATGCAAATATCCCAGACCTAAGTCATGAAGGGCCTTATAGGTGAGGACTAGCACCTTGAAGCGGACCTGGA